CTGTATGACAAGGGCTTTATTTACCGGTTTGGCATCATTTTGTTTGGGTATGTAAAATCGGACCGACAACATAAATATTGTGAAAGAAAGTTTATTTGTTGTACTGTTGCAAATTGTTAACAAAATTGCATAATTTATTTGTAATTTAAGGTTTTTCTGGACTTTATTTTACGCAAAAAATCATACAAACCCGCATACGTTATCCATTGCAATACAATATTTTAACTTCAACGGTGGCCGCTACTATTATTGCTTACCAAGTGACTAGTACACGTACCAAATCTTGTCAAGCAGCCTGGATGGCTGCGGAAGATAAACACACTATACTTAAAGAAGCTAATTTTTAATAATAAACCATAATTATAAGACAAAATGTTTTTCAATTTAATTGCTAAGAGGACTTCGTCAGCACTTTTTGTTAGGTGTCTAAGTCTTAATAGTTTGTCCTTACCCACAACTTTAAAACATTTTCCACAACAACATCAGCAGCAGAAACGTTTTAAATATACCCAAAATAAAGGTGTTAAAGGTTTGCGCAACCGGAAACATCAATATGAAACCAAGGAGAAGCAGGAAAATAACGAAGAAATGGAACTCCACGATGAATTTCAACAGTCGTTAAATTTGGAAGATAGGTAGGTCGGAAGGAGAGTATATTGAAAGGAAACAATAAAATATTATCAAATCTTCTAGTGAATATGATTTAGTGGCAAATGGTGCCATGAATGTTACCCGCAAATCAACACAACCTCAAAATGTACTCGTCATACAACCCTATGTTAAGTGGGGCCCCAAACGTGCAACCATTACTACACCTGATGACCAGTTGGAAGAAGCTAAAGCTCTTATACACTCCATTAACAATTGGTCAGTGGCTTTAGCTATCAAGGTGCCCTTAGAATCACTGGAACGTAAAGCTCTCTTTGGCAAGGGTAAAATGGAAGAAATTAGAAATTTGGTGCAGGAATTACGTCAGGCTAAAAGTCATAATCAGCAACCGCTTACTTGTATCTTTGTTAGTAAGGGTTCGCTGAGTTTTGCTCAAAAAGCCTTATTAGAAGCGACTTTTCATTTGCCCGTCATGGATCGTTATTCGGTGGTAATACAAATATTACGTTTACACGCTACCAGTGCTGAGGCTCGCTTACAAGTGGCAATGGCCGAAATACCTTATATTTGGTCACAGGCTAAAGAGGCTAATACATCGAAATCAACGAAATTGGGTTATTCATTGACCGACACCCAAAGGGAGATACTGAAGACGAGGGAGAAGAAATTGAAAATGGAATTAGAACGCATAAGAAATCATAGGTAAGTGTTTGTTGACTTTTTGTACATCTTCTAAAACTTTGGGTTGTATTAGGTTGAATAATTTCGGCTTACCTAAGATCTTGTGTAGTCCAACACTTTACAAATAACTTAAATGTTTGTGTAATATGTCTTCATATCTTGGATTACAGCTGGATGGGTATTTGTACTCAGATGACCTGTAGTACTAAAATGTGGATAAACTGTATTAGCACCATATCTTCTTTACCGGACACAGTCTCTGTACTTTTTCGTTTATGATACGGGGGAATGGTTTCTGTTAAAGAATGACAGGTTAATAAACAGATTAACGAAGGGATGGGCATGAAAAAAACACTAAAAAGACTCACGAGTTCATTGTTTTGCTTAAAGAAAGATTTAGGACCATTATTAACATGCTTTAAAACTTAATGACGTCACGCTATGACACTGTAGGGTGTATTTTTCTATTACGAACCAATATAACTACAAAATTATGTATTTATTCTCAGAAAACTTTTACGCAACAAACGCAAACAGCACAATTATCCCATCGTGGCTGTTGTCGGTTATACAAACGCAGGAAAAACATCCATAATCAAGGCACTAACTCAAGAACAAACAATCCAACCGAAAGATCAATTATTTGCCACACTCGATGTGACAGCTCATGCTGGCCGCTTACCTTGTAATCTTGAAGTTATATATATGGATACGGTAGGCTTTATGTCAGATCTACCCACTGGACTAATCGAGTGTTTCGTAGCAACTCTAGAGGATGCCATGTTAGCTGATGTTATACTACATGTACAGGATGTATCACATGCATGCTATGAAGCACAAAAACAGCATGTAGAGACGACTTTGAAAAGTTTAACACAAAATATGTCCTGGGAAACTGAGGATAAAGTTGATTTACCACCCATTATAAGTGTAGGCAATAAAATTGATTTGCTTAATAGCAAAGATGTCAACTCGTTCACGGGTTTAAAGGTTTCAGCTAAAAAACAACAAGGTTTGTCGGAATTAATGGTTGAAATTGAAAATCATATATTAGCCACCACTAATAGACGAAAGTTAACAATACGTGTACCTAATGGTGGCATAGAAATGTCTTGGCTTTATAAAAATGCCGCTGTAGTACATATAAAGGCTGACAGCGTGGATTCACAAAACTTACTAATGGATATTGTTATTAAGGAAAGTGTTTTACAGCAGTTTAAAAAACAATTTTGTCAAAAATAAAGTGATTTTTTTTAAGGATTTGTTTAAGAGTATGTTATATATATTTTTTTTAAATATTTTCGTTTTTTTTTTTATATACTGTTTTTAATAAAAACTATTTTTTTATAAATTAGCTAAAAAGTAAAGATTAATATATTTTGTTTAAATTGAAGAGCTTAAAGCTAAAGAACATTGGCATGACTTAAAATATGAAAAATTGTGTTGTTTTTTTTTATTGGTTTCGAAATTGCATCTTGGTTTTGTTGTTTATAAAAATAAATGCTTTTAGTTGATGAGAACAAAAAGTGTTGGGGAATGTTTGGAAATATGTATAAGGAAATTTTAGTTTCAAGTTTAATTAATGGAAAGGATGAAAATATTTAATTAAATCTACACTGGGATTAGTTTAAACAAAATTAGATTCGTTTGTGATTATTGAAACTTTGAAAACGTTTATAATACGTTTTTATTTAATTTTTTGTGTACAAATTTTGTCTGTTAAAGAAATTTTCTATAAAAGTGTTGACTCTTAAGGAAATTTTCTTTAAAATATTGTTTCTAAAGGAAATTTTTCTATAAAACTTTTGTTTCGTAAGGAAATTTGAACGGAAATTTCTGTTTTTTTTTTTTTTTTTTCAAATTCGAAATGTTAAATGTTATGAAAACCTTTTAAAAACTAAGTAGATCCATTATTAAAGGGGAATGCTATGCGTAAAAAATACACCCAGATTTAAAATGTATAAACACTATCTTATAAAATCTAAACACTAATATTATGGCAAAAATAATGCTTAAAACAATAAACCAAAAAAATATAAAAAAATTAAAAACTAAATAAATTAACAGATAAACAATTAAATTAAATAGCAAGCAAAAAAAAAAAACTTGTATTAGCTAATTATAAATTTAAATATTTTAAAACTAATTGTATAATGGGCATAACCACAACAATGACTATTAAAGTTCCTAGAATACGTGTGTATGTGAACACTAAATGTATTTTCTTTTTAACATTATGTTTAAAATTATTTGGAATTGTTTGCTTCTCTTGCTCTTGCTCCAGCCCCTGCTCCACCTCCTCCTCCTCCTCCGACTTTAAATGTAGTTATAACTTTGATGTTATAGTATTACAATAATAGTATTGTTTGAAGGGCATTAAATTACAATATCCCAATAAAAGCCTCTCTAAATCGTCAAGTTTGTCTGAAGTTTTTCTTAAATTACCGGTTTCACGATTACGCTGTAAATAGGTTCCTTGCACTAATGCATGTATTGCTATATTCAAATTATCTAATGCCAAACAATAGGGATGGACGTGTAGTAATTGACTAGTTTTGGTTGTATTTAAAATTTTTTCGATGCGTTGTTGCATTATTTTTAAAATCTTTTTAATCGGTATTTCTTCTAGGCTGTCGGCGGCGGGTAACTGTTTATGGAATGAAAAAAAGGAAATTCTCTTTAAAAGCACATTTTCTATAATAAATCTATCTCTTAATTTCTATAAAATTTCAACTTTTAAAGGATGTTTTTGTGAAAATTTTGCCTTTTAACACATTTTCTATAAAAATTTTGTCTCTAAAGGATATTTTCTTTAAACTTTTTTCTCTGCTAAAGTTTGTTTTACTCAATTTTCTCCCTAAATATTCTATAAAATATAAACTGTTGTTGCAACCATTGAAAAATAACTTACTATTTCATTGAGAGTGACTGCTAATTGATAGTAAACACATAGGAAAGGTGCTATGGCTGATAGTATACTATGGCTAAGTTTATTATGATTCACTGAGATTCTGCCGTTTGTAATATGTAAAACACCATGATTTTCCAAGTATTTTAAGTTACGTTTAAATTCCTGTAAAAGTAAATAGAATTAAAAAGATTTCGAACATAATACAAAAAACACAACAAACCTCCTTTTCCCGATTTGATTCTATAATAAATTCATGTTTGAAAATATTATCTAATTCTTCTACACGTTGACATAGTTTAGCAATTGATGCCTCATTTGTTAAAGAAACATTTGAAGCTTGTTCCTTTTCCAATTGCAGTGCCGCTATAATTACATAGCCAGGACGAGCTAACCAAAATAGACAAGGATTTATATAGAGTTGTAATGTTAAGCTGGGTACAGCCACTGCCATTGTTCGGGGTGATAAACTGTGGGCTTTTAAAAGTTTCAAATCAATTTCCTGGGCTAATTGACTTGCGGGAACCTGTGTAACCTCGAGGCGAGCCTGTTTGAAATGCAAGATATTTGAATGAATCTCAACTGTTTCCATTATTTCGGGTTTAATGCAATTAACATCAGTGGCCACATGGGCACCCAATTCTTCAAACATTTCTTTGAGCAATACTATTCCACGTGAAAGTTCATCTAGATTAACCGAGATGTTATTGTAATATTGACTGGTATAAAATAAACAAACTAAATTAAAGGTTGTTATAACAATGCGTCTTTGTTGCTGATAAATAATCTATTAAAACCGGGAAAAGAGAAAATTACATAAATAATTTCATAACTGTTATAATAAGTTTCCTCTTACCTCTGTTGCCAAACTCTTGACTAGATCAATTTCTTTCTTATTTAACTTTTGCAAATGAGCACCAATCACTGCCCTTTTCATGCGATCCGCACCGCAAGCTTCCCCCATAAAATCTCTTACCGAAATGGGTTCTCCAAAATCCAAATACATTTTACCAAAACGTTCATCAATAATTTTTAAAGCCTTAAAGAAACCCTTAGTTGATTCCTTGGGTTTGGGCACGCCCAACAATTCATAGACAAATAGCTGTTCCTCTAGTACCCGCTCATAGGATACGCTTACAGGTACTATAGTAATATCTGACACTTCACCGGTAAAATATGGCAAAAGAGCCATAGATAATAAGCCGATCTTTGGTACTAAAGCTTTAAAATTACGACTACGTGTTCCTTCAATGAAGAACTCAACACCAATGTGATAAGCTGCCACCAGGGCATACATATATTCACGAAAGACATCCCAATAAAGTTCATCGTTGGAAAATGAACGTCGCATAAAAAAAGCACCAGTTTTGCGCAACATAGTGCCCATGGCAAACATTGAGTGGAAATCTTTAATAAAAGTTAAACATTAGAAAAAAAAACAACTATTTTAGTAAAAACAACTAAAACTCACCCATTCCCGCTGCAATGCCTGGTATTTCGATGTCATAATGAAAACATATATAGGACATTAATATAAAATCCATATAACTTCGATGACTGGGTAAATATAAAACCGGATTCTTTCCCAAGCCCTCCTTCACCTTATCCATACTGGCCTTATTAACATAAATACCCTTGCAGATACGTTTACCAATCGCCGTTATGGCTATGCCACACCAACGTATTATCGCCATATTACGATCCAAGCCAATTTCATTTAAAATATCATGAACTTGTTGTCGTATATCTTTGGTTGTTGTATTTTGTTTTTGTGCATAATAATCTATAAGTTGTTGGATTTTTTCACTCTTCAATACATGATTTTTGAGCTGTGAAGGATTTAGATATTTTTCAAGTTTACAGGCAACCAATGGATTATATTCTTTTGTCATATTTGGCTCATTGCCAGGAGCCAAAATATTTTCAAAATCATTTATATAATTATTTTTTATTGTGGCCATTTTTATTAAACCTTTTTAATTAATCGGTAGTTGATTAAAGCTGCAATAAAAGAAAATAATTGTTTAGTTATTAGTTAAATACCCGACTTTTCATAAATTATATACAAACAATCTAGCATAGAGTTTAATTACTGTATTCTACATACATTGTATGTAGTCTTTATTGTTTGTACTGATAAGCTTAAGTGCATTATCAGACCACTTAGTTAGGAAAACTAATTAAGTTCAAAATCATTGTTTGGGATATGGTTACGTTGATTAGCTGTGACAAATGTGTTAAATTATGATACGATTATTATTCATTCGATCATAAAAGAATAAAAAGAAATCCGTTAATTACTTTACTAAAAATAGAGTGAGTGAGTGAATGAGTATGTAAGTATTTGGTTTATTTATTTATCTAAATGTAATGCTTGTAATACCCTATATTATAGGGCCTCTAACATTTTGATATTGCATAAAAGGGCTTTCAATATAAACAGCAACATAACTATACATTTCTGCAATACTTTCATTATGCTTAATTTTTTGTCAATATTAAAATAAAAATGTCACTATTAACCCGAGAATCTTAAGTAACAACTATAGATTAAGGAAATTTTAAATTAAAATAAGTCTAGTACTGAATAAATTTTGATTCACCCAAACAGAATTGTTTATTTTTTTATGCCAAGTCGTCTAATGTTTACGTGGAATATTTAAGAACCCTCTTTATTGTAATAGTTAATTAATTCGTTAAAAAGACAAAACAAACTAGGTATGTATAAATAAAATATATAATAAAATAATTGAAATTATAGGTAACAAACAAAAGCAAAATTTTAAATATTGTTATTTAAACACATAGTACCCACTATTTGTTGTAGGTATGTAAATGAGAAGAAAGGTAAATAACAACAAATGTATAAATATATACAAACATACATACTATATATATTTTTTATCAAATCAATAGAATAAATATACATACAAATAACTAAAATCACACCACTATATAGTACGCTCGTTTATTTCAAGAATGTTGTAAGTAGAAAAAACAGTTTTAAGAAAAACGGAAAGTTTATAACAAACGGTATTACAAAATAGTCTACAGTGGGCATATCACAGAAATAATTGGATTTGTATATTTTTAAAACTTTTAATACTCCCATTACAAACAATATTTTGCTTTCTCACTCCTCTAAATCGAAATTTTGAGTTACAACACTTTTAAAGTAAACACTTCTAAAGTAAACACAAAATTTATTCATTGTAAGATTATTTACATATTTAGCAAATAAAAACGAGATTTTTGTTCAAATAATAAAAAAAAAAAAAAACAATTAAGTCATCATAACAAATTAATAATAGGTGAATAGGGGTAGTATTTTTGATTAATTAAATGTATAACGGCCATGTTCTTTTTTAAATTAAACAACAAACACTCATAATAAAAACATTACAATTTGTTTTAAAAATATGTTAATTTCTCATTCGTGCCAATAAATGAATAGTTAATTTGTTACTTAATTTCAAGAAAAAGAAAAAAAAAATGTTATTCATAAGGTATAGAGTTAAAAATACACGACTTTCTTTTTCTTTTTTTGTTCATATTGCAAATTGATTTTTCTCACCGGCAGCAAAATTACACAAGTTTTTTGTTATTTTATTTTTAATAATTATAACTGTTATGTTTATACTTTTAAGTAGCCAGTATTTAATTTGTTTAATTGGTATTTGTTAATCTGATAGACTTTATTTTATTTATTTTTAGTAATTCTGCATGTATATTTTACTATTTTTGCAAATGTTTCACTTTTTTTACTACCGCACACACCACGAAACTACTGCACATGATGATAAACAAGAAAAAACAGAAAAATTACTTGAAATTGTTTTAGGAAAGTGTTGTCTACTAGCAGATATCTTTTTAGTATCTATGAGTTACAAAGTAAAAATAAAATAATAGATAAATTTGTGTGAATGTTTAAAAAGTTATTTATGACTTAAAAACTTCGTTTAAAATATTTATCTTTGTTTTAAAATACGTTGTCTTTTTATAATTTACCTTAAATGCGTTTTTTGTTGTAACAACAATTTTTTTATGAGTTTAATTAATTAAGAGAGTTAAGTGTTTGCTCTCTTTACAACAACTGCAATGCATTTGTATATTAAAAAACATCTGGCATCATTTCTAAATTCTAATAGATGTCAAATTTTTATTGTTTTTGTTTTACCTTACAAAAAGTTGTTTTATTGACAGATTTGTTAAATGCATTACATTACTTAAATAAACATTGATTTAAATTTGTTTATTATGGCGAAACAAAAGAAAATATATAAATTAAAATACTATTAACAATATAGTTTAAATTTCAATCATCTTTATAACAACAAATTTGAATGAATACGCTGTAAAGAGTCCTCTATTAGAGAAAATAAAAGTAAAACAAACTGAAAATTTGCTTCAAATTTATAATCAGTGTCAACAAAAAGTGCTTTTTTATCAGAAAGCAGATAATATAAACCCATAAAAAATGTCCTAACATCATATAAATACACTAAATTTATTGCTTACTTTGTATTCATTGTATCTTTAAATATGGGTATATTTTTAACTTTTTTATATCGAACAGGTATCCTAATATCACCTTAATTAAATACACAGTGTTGATTTTTTTCGGTCTTAACAAAAATCTAATTTGATGTCTCATCACCGGCCTCTCTTTTTTGTTTAAGTTTATTTGTTATTTTGTTAAGCAATTAATACATGTAAGCGTTGAAAGAAGAAGTACAAAGTTCCGTCCGGTTGGCTAACAGACAAACAAATCAAAGAAACAGCAAATAAGTAAACCAAAGCTACAATTAACTTATGCAAGATCAGCTTTAGTAACCAGTTTTAAAGTGACGTTGACAAGAAATGGTGGAAAAACACGTTAGTGTCCATAGAAAGAAAAAAATGTCCAGAAAGTGTAATAAATTTTTGGAGTCTTTATTGGTTTTGCTGCATGTCGTATTAGATTATATTTTGGAATTTGTTTTGGGTTGGTATTGGGGTCCTAAGCGTAGATGTAGTGCGCCAGAAGATAAAAAACAAGATGACATAGTTTCAAAAAGTGCAGTGGAGCTGGCTTTGTTGATTAAACAACGTAAATTAAAAGCATATGAAGTGGTTAAAGCCTATTGTGATCGTATTAAGTCGGTTAATCCAGAAATAAATGCTGTTGTTGATGGTCCGTTTGCCGAAGCTTTGGAAGAGGCTAAGGAAGTTGATCGCCAACTTGATAGTGGTGAATTAACTGAGGAAGCGTTAAAAACCAAACCATTTTTGGGTGTACCCTTTACAACCAAAGACAGTACAGCTGTGGCCGGCAAATTGCACACATTGGGCTTGATAGCTCGTAAAAATGAAAGAGCCACCGAAGATGCGGAATGTGTACGCTTGATGAAGGAAAGTGGTGCCATTTTTATAGCCACCAGCAATGTGCCTGAAGTTAACAAATGGATAGAGTCCCGTAATATGTTAATAGGACAAACTAATAATCCTTACGACTTAAGACGTTCTGTGGGTGGTTCTTCCGGTGGAGAGGCCGCTTTAATTACTGCCGCTTGTACTGGTTTTGGTTTGGGTACGGATATAGGTGGCTCTATACGTATACCAGCATTTAATTGCGGTATTTTTGGCCACAAACCCTCACCCAATGTTGTCAATATGCGCGGCTGTACCTTTCGCACGGGAAAAGAAGAAAATACTATGGTAGCTGCCGGTCCCATGAGCCGTTATGCCTCAGATTTAATGCCTTTATTAAAAGTTTTAGCCGGTCCTAAAATGTGCGAAACTTTGAAACTTTCTCAAAGTGTTGATTTGAAAAAGTTGCGCTATTTTTATATCCCTTCGAACAATATGAAGCAATGTAATCCGGTTAATCGTGAGACACAAATGCGCATGTACCAAATACGCCGACATTTTCAAAATCTAACTGGTCAAGAAGTTAAACTGGCTGAATTACCCAAATTAGAATTGACCGGTAAAATGTGGCGTTACTGGATGACTCAAGAGCCGGCTGACTTTAATAAGCTTTTAGGCAATGGTCTTGATCTCAATCCATTTATAGAGCTTTTTAAGAAACTTATAGGCCAGAGTGATTTTACTATGGCAGCCATTTACTCCCTTATCGATTCGTTGTTGCCCAAAGAAAAAGAGCGTTTAATACGTGAGGCTACTACACAATGCAAAGAAGCTTTGCAGGAATTATTAGGTGACGATGGTGTCTTATTTTTCCATAGTTCTCCACGCACTGCTCCCTTCCACTACTATCCCCTGGTGAAAATTATGGATTTCAGTTATTTTTCCATATTTAATGTTCTACAAGTACCGGTAACACAAGTACCCTTGGGTTTAGATGTCAATGGTCTGCCTCTAGGTGTGCAAGTAGTGGCCAATAATATGAACGATCGTTTGTGCTTGGCTGTGGCTGAGGAATTAGAGCGTGGATTTGGTGGTTGGGTACCACCCTATGCTGCAAAATAAAGTTAAATATTTAATTTTTGTTCGATCTACTAATAATTTTTAAGACTACATAATGATTTTCGAGACTTAGTTGAAATTTTCATTCCGTTAGTTTGGTTAAAGGTATTCAAAAACGATTAATAAATATATTTATATATTTTTATATTATTGATTATATAAAATTTGTGTGTGTTTTCATTTATTAAAAAATTGCTGAACGAAGCTTGCTTTACCTACGTTTTGCCTATAAGTATTTCTGTCTTAATGGCGATATACATATGTATGTATGTATGTACTAAAGTTTTAGCTTTAGCGGTTTAGGCGTAATGGACAAAAATTCCAACACCATCTACCGAACAAATATATATTCCTTAGTGTATCGATTACGAACAGATAGATAGCTAAATAGACATTGCAAAAAAATTGGTGTTTGGTCATTTTTAAAATTTTTTGACTTTGAAATAGATTTTCACAATTTTTAGTATCTCGACAACCCTTAAAGCAGCTGTTTATATAAAAACAACAATAAACACATTTCATGAGGCAGATGTTTACAACAAATAAATTGCAAGTGTTTTCTTATTTAATAAAATTTAAAGAAAAATTTTGTTAAATTAAAATAAATTATGTTTTATAAACATTAACAAAATGTTCCGCCAACAACCCAATCAATTACAATGCCTAGTGCGTCAAATGGTAGCTAATTTACCAAGATATTATGCCAAAAAATCAACAAACAATAAAACCACCAATAAAGATGATGAAGTGGTATTTACGCCCGAACTGGGAGCTAGTTTTTTTGCTAAAAATATAGGTAAAGTATAAATAAGAAACTTCCTACTGAAAACATAAATTTTAAAGAAAATTACCTCTATAATATATAAGGTTCCACCTATTGGAAATGGCATGCCATACTGAGTAAACATCCCGAATTGAAAACACTTAAATCCAAAGATGTTGTCAACACCATAAATGCTTTGCGTAAGTTTAACTTTTCGACAGAGGATATTCTAACGAAACCCATGATTCTCTATACAAATGAAATGACTTTGGAGAATCGTTATAGTGTTTTTAAAGAATGTGGCTTTGAAACGATCACCATATCATTGTTATCGAAATATGTGGCAGCCATGAATAGAAGTGTGGCCACTTTAAAGTCTTTGGGGCATATACCCTATAAGGTCAATGTTATCGAACAGTTGCGTCAGACCTTTGAAGACATTGACGTGGAACTGCATACGAATTATTCCTACAATGAAAGTTTAGAATTGAAAATCTTACGACAGCGTATACTCAATAATTATTTGCAACAGCGCTTGCATATGTCCATGGAAGAGGTCGAGAAAATCTGGCGGGTTTATACACGTTTGAAACATAAAAGTTTCTATTCCGTACAGAAAATGGTTAAAGTTCTTTTGGATGAATTGAAATTTCCCCGAGATCGTATTGCTAAAAATGCTTTCATATTATATGGTGATGCGGATAATGTGCGTAGAATTATTAAGGAAATACCCACGATCGATGGTCAAGATATTAGGGAGATATTATTTAAAAGACCTAAAATAATGATGTCATCCTGTGATGCCTTAATGGCTACACTGCAGCATGTTAAGGATTTTGGTATAGGCGAAGAGGCTATACTGCGCTGTTTGGAGGTATTGACTTTGGGACCGGATACCGTGTTGGAACGTCTAAAGGATTTAAATGAAGTGGAAGAATTTCAGGTTTTAAATACGAATCCAAGAATATTAAGATTGGTGCATTATCAAAATAAGGCTAGATTGCGCTTGGATTATTTGAATCAATTGAAAGTAAGATGTGCCTCATTGCATATATTGTCGTGTGGTTCAGAAGCATTTGCCAAGTAAGTATAGTTTAACTTATATTTCTCTCTTAGTAAAGATCTGTGTACGTATGTAAAGCAAATTATGAAATACAATTGGAAATGGTTTAATAAAAATTTAATTTTTAAATTCCACCTTTCTTTTTAGATTTGCTCGCGATGGCTCCGATCGCACTAAGGGTCGCGATATTGTAGTATATTTAGCCAATATAATGGAGAAGTCGGAACAGGATGTACGTAATTTATTGTCTCGACATCCTAACTGGTGTCACATACCCGCCTTACAAGTTAAACAATGTTATGAGTTCCTATTAAGCAAGAAATTTACCATAACCGATATTTATAACAATATCCACCTTCTATTATACCCAACGTAAGTTAAATTGTTACATATTTACTTAAACCTATTTAACAGTTTCTTTTATATTCCAGCAAACGTATAGATGAAAAATTAATACAATTGCAAACACCAGAATTCTTGCAGGATCTACAAATACATCGCAGCTTCAAACAACTTAGTAATAATGAAGTACTCACTTTGGTTTTATATTTAATTGAAAGTGAATTTCATTTTACCGGTGATGGTATTTGGACCGAACAACATACACAGCATGTAGAGAACTTTAATAATTTATTACCCGATTTTCCTGAGAGTTTAAATAAAATCTATAAATATGGTGTTAAACCGGCAGCGACGACTGCAACAACTGCTTTAGGAGGCGCCACAAACAAAGAATATGTCGTGAATCATTAATTTGTTATTGAAAATTTGATTTTTTCAATTAGTTTCATAGGTTTGTTTATTATTTAATTTGAATTAAAATCAAAATAGAAGTCAAAAATTGTTTTATTTCTTAATAGTATACAGTAGGCTCTTCGGGTGCTTCGGGTTTCTGATGTTGTATGGTAATAGCCGAGTGTTTAATAGAACAATTCTTTAGTTTATCTAAAATCTCTTTGTAAGCCGGTGATATAGGCTTTTGCACCACTTCGCGATAGGTATATTCCTTATCCTCACTTAGCTGGTAATTTAAAGGAAACTTGTTAAAGAATTTTTAACATTTTTAATACAGTGCCATACTTACATTCAAACTATACGACATATCCGAGTCAAAACCCCTTAAATCTCCACACACCACAAATGGTATCAATTCTTTGTTTACTTTTGATTCGGTGGCATTTTGTATAACCTGTACATCATCGACCATGGGATTTATCATTTGCGGTATATAACCGTCAGGACAGCGATAATTTTGACATACCACAAATGCTTCAATGCTGGAATTTCTTGAACTAGCCGGCTTAGCTATCGATACCTTTTCGAAAAAGATTCTCAATTGTGAGTACAGTAAGCTGGTATCTTTGCCTCTAAAGATTTTCGCCACAAAATTACCGCCCGTCATTAGGACATGTGTTGTTATACTAAGAGCGGCCAACAACAGTTGACTCTGAATGTATTCATCGATGTCATGTAGGCCCGTAACATCGGGAGCACCATCACATATTACTAATTGGGCCTTCTGATCTTCACCACCGAAGTGTTCGATTATCGATTGGGCCGTACTAAGTTTAGTAATGTCACCCTGTAGTTGTATGACACCATTTAGAGGCGCCATAGCTTGTAGATCTACGGCTATGATTTTGACCTCTTCATTGTTATTGCGATTTTCGTACAGACGTTTCGATAACACCTGTGACCAACTACCGGGTGCAGCACACAAATCGACGGCACGAGTAACTCCTGGAAATGGAATGTAAATTGTTAAAAAAAAATTAATAAATCGTTGAGCACTGGAGCTCAGAATGTTGATCTCTGGTAGTGAATTATGAACGATAAAGAGCTTTTATGAGGTTCTTTTAATCAACAATAGGATGTATTCGAAATATCACAAAATTACCGACATGTTCGATTGCAGAATTAACATCTTGACCGAATCAAGAAACAATTTAGAATCGATTGATATACTTTAAGGTAGTTGTAGAACTATTATTTTCAATTATTAGCAAGATTGCAACGAAGTAGGGAATAAAAAAATCAATGTTTATTTTTTGGGTTGGACTTACCTTTCAAAATGTGAAATTTCTCATCAATTTGTAGTAATTTAAAAGCGCTACGAGCACGCCAGCCTTCTTCCTTTGCTAAACGATAATATATATCACGTTTATCTTTGGAAGTTTTACCCATTTTTTTTTTGAAAATTTTGTTTATAAAAAAGCCAAATTAATAAATTTATTTACTTTTCACACAACACATGCAAATATTTTCTTCACTTTATTTACATTTACTCTCACTTAACACATCCCACACGACAGCTTACTTGTAAAGAGTTGCCAGATTTTACATAAAATTAAAATGTATTTTTTGCTGGAAATTAATTAAAAATTTTAATTTGGGCCAAATAACTTCTGTTCTATGTTTACATTACAATAATAAGGTATTTATACAATATAACTATATATTTTTCATTGTTATTACAAATATTGTTTCATTTACAAATTATTTCAAACCTTGGTCACCCTAACTTAAAAAAATAAACAATATTTGACATTTCATTTCAAAAACAAAACAACTAGAAGAAGCACAACACGTGTATATATCAACGTTGGCTGGCATATTTTTTATTTTTCTCTAAAAAAATTAAAATATTTAATAATATAAAATGTCTTTGTTAAGAATCAGGTAAATTATTAATTTAACAATATATTCCCATTATGTTAAACATTAAAACAACTTTTATAACTTACAGAAAACCCAAAACCCGCAAGGGTAAAAAAGTATTAATGGCCAGAGAGCCTCAACTAATAGAGGGCCCACGCTCCATGTTATTTCTAGATGGTCGTAAATGCGGTGGCGAGGTAAAAGCTTGCATGAAGGATTTACAACAATTGAAGAAACCTTTGATTAAAGTTTTAAATAGAAACAATGATATCACACCCTTTGATGATCCCTCTTCCTTGGAATTGTAAGTAACAATATCCTTTAAAAAAACCTTAGGAATGTGAAAAATGTTTCTTTATATTTTAGTTTAACACAAAAGAATGACTGCGCAATGTTTGCTTTTGGCTCCACCTCGAAAAAAAGGCCGAATAACTTAATATTAGGACGTATTTTTGAAAATGAAATCCTGGATATGGTGGAATTAGGCATTAAACATTATCAAGCCATGTCCGAGTTTAAAACCGACAAGATTGGTACTTGTGTAAAACCTTGTTTAGTGTTTAACGGTCCCAAATGGTCGCAGACTGAAGAATTAAGACGTTTAAGAAATCTATTGATTGACACTTTTCAAAAAGATAAAGTAGAAGCTATACGCCTGCAGGGCATCGAACATGTCATGAGTTTTACTTGCAACGAAGACATGACAATTTTAATGAGATCCTATAAAATACAATTGAAGAAATCTGGTCAAAAAACACCACGTATCGAATTAATTGAAATTGGTCCCTCGGCAGATTTTTCCATTAGACGTACTAAGATCGCCTCGGAAGATTTGTATAAACAGGCGCGTAAACAGCCGAAAGAACTTAAAGTTACCAAAAAGAAGAACATCACTCACGATAATTTGGGTAATACACATGGTCGTGTACATATGGGTAATCAAAATCTGGGTAAGATACAGACAAGACGTGTTAAGGGTCTAAAAAAATCATCAGAAGAAAAGAAAGCGGATCGTCAAAAAAAAAAGGAAATGCTTAAGGCCGCTGCCAAGGAAATGTTAACAAATAATGAATAGTTTTTTTTACACTTTTAGTACTATGTACAAGATTTTATATGAATAAGTTAATAACAAATAAAATACACATTTTACTTTAAAGAAATTGTTGGATGTGTTGAAAATATATTTAAGAATGAAAACTAAAATGTATGTAATACAAACTAATGTATGGCCTCCACAATATTGCGTATACGCCGTGAACGCGATTCCATTAAAGCTTCTTCGAGGGAATGTATCATATAGTTTAAGGTATTCAAATCGGTTTGCACCAGTAAATCTTTGCGATTTCGTTTTTCATCTTCATGCACTGGTGTTGGAGCATCTTCTACATCCTCCAATAAATCGCGATTTTCATTCTTGGGTTCGGTGTGTAAATATAATTTCATCGTTACAAATACTTGTGATTGCTTCATAACGGCTCGTGAGGCTAATCTAACTTCCAGACGCCATTCTATATTGACCAGACGATAAGCTCGTATATTGGCAGTTTTAATAGAACCTTCAATAAAATTACGTTTACTAGTCATGAATTGTGTTAAAATATCTACAGTATCCTCTTGAAAGCCTGCTAATGTTAAAGGCTTTCTTAACTCGCTTTCATCCGCTTTTGCTTTAGTAGCTTCTATTAGCAGTGAAATTAAAGCTTCTACAGCTAACTGGACTTCTGCTCGTTCAAAATGTTTATCATATTTATTAGCTATGGCTTGATATATTTCCTGTTGTTGTTCCGGGCCATGGGCTAAATAATCAAATGCTACTTTACACAATGTAATCACATCAGACGTTTCACATTTTGTTAGCGGTTGCAAGTGGGACTTTTGCAAATTTTTAATGGCGAAAGGCATTTTTACCAAAAAAAAACAGTAAATAAATAGAAAAGTAATCACTGTAAACAAAACTTTGGAATAATAATACTGTCCAGGTAGTATTTATTTAGATGGGATTGGTAGTACTGCTGATTATTGTTTACTATTCCACCAACTGTCAAACACCAGAATTTTCCGCTGTCAGAGTCTGTATAAAAAACATTTGTTTAATGTTGTCACCTAATAAAATTCGACGTAGTATTGTCAAATCAAGCGAAACTATTGTATAGCCAGATGTCTCAAATGTTAAATAAAATGAAAATGGGAATCATATTGGAGGAATTTAAGGAACCACATTAACAACTCTAAACGGCTCCAATTTTTAATATTTTTCAATGGATAGTACTTTTAACAAAGAAAAAGTTTTTTTTTTGTACTCTGGCCTATATAAAAAGTTTAAATTAATATGAAAATCACAGCTGTTTAAGAGTCGATAAGTTATGCCTTTTAATATTTTATGGTCCTTCTTTGTTATTCAAAATAATATGTAATCTCCGTAACAAAAAATCCATCAAATATGGCAACTCGAATATCTATTGAAAGAACAAATCGTAGTAAATTGTTTTTGCAAAAGTTAAACAAAAATAATTAATAAATACTAAACTAATATAACTAACAAATTCTAACAATATGGAACTCGATAGTCCAGATGTGGAGAAAGAATTTCCGGGCTTATATGCCTCTGAAGGGGTTGAAGGTGGAAAATCTAAGAAAAACAAAGATGAAAGTGATTGTAAGTAAATACACAAAAAAAGGGAAAGAAATCTAAAAATATAAAACTTACATTATTATAAATAAAAAATTGCAGATAGTGAAGGTGATCATGATAAAGTTAGCAAGAAAGATTTATTGATTGGTCGCCGCAAGGATAAAAAGGACAAAAGTAAAGATAGAGGTTATGCGGCTTTAGAAGGGGAGAGTTCTCCAGAAGAGGAACTTGATGCCAAGTACACATAATGAATAATTTAAAACATATTCTATTTCAATACACTTTATTTCAGAAGTCCTTCCAAATCGAAAAAATCCAAAGCATTTAAATTTACCTCTTCTAAATCGAAGGATAAACGTGAAAAATCTCGTGACAAAGAAAAACTCGACAAGGATCAAAAGGATGAGGAAAAAATAAAGGAGAAAGGAGACAAAAGCGACAAGGATAAACATGGTGAGAAGGAAAAGGACAAAGAAAAAGACAAGGATAAGGAGCACAAGAAAAAAGATAAAGATAAGAAAGATAAAGATAAAAAGGATAAGTCCAAGGATAAAGACAAAGAAAAAGATCGCAAAGATAAGAAGGATAAAGCTAAACAACAGACCAGCATAAGTTCGGAAGAAGTACTTGAGTTAGGTTCGCCTGTATTTGGTGTTTCAGTTAGTTTGGCTACCGAACGCAGTCGTTGTCATGATGGCATTGAATTGCCTTTAGTAGTACGCGATTGCATAGATTATTTGCAGGAATATGGTCTGAAAAGTGAACAAATCTATCGTGTGGAACCAATGAAGACCAGACTTTTGCACTTTAAACGTCTGTATAACAGTCGAGAACGTCAGCCAGAAACTGATGTCTTAGATATACCCACAGCTTGTGGTTTATTAAAGTTATTCATAAAGTAAGTACTAGAGGATTAAAACTGAAAGTGTTGTTTTTTTTAATCTATTTTTGTTTGGCAGAGAATTACCCGAACCCATCTTAACCACTGACTTAATCGCTCGTTTTGAGGAAGTAGCTTCTCATCCGCAAGTCACTAAACAACAAGAAGAACTCGAACAACTTTTAGAACAATTGCCTAGTTGCAATAAAGTTTTACTCTCTTGGATACTTATTCACTTTGATTCGGTCATACAACAGGAGAAGAGCAACAAAATGAATGCTCAATCGTTGGCCATGCTACTGAGCCCACCTTTGCAAATGTCTCATCGTTTATTGGTGACATTATTGTGTCATTGTTCAACATTGTTTGCCGATATAAAGCTCGTAAAGTAAGTATAAGATTGTTATCTATATCTATCTATCTATCTATCTATCTATCTATCTATCTATCTATCTATCTATCTATCTATCTATCTATCTATCTATCTATCTATCTATCTTTAATATTACAAATCAACAATTTATACTTGTAATATCTTACCTCTCTGATAATGTTATATTTAAGTAAATATAAACTTTGAAAAATGTGTATCTTAAAAAAGATAAAACCACATCTACTGATAACAAGATGCTCAGATGAAATGAATGATGTTTATAGTAAAACATTCAGTAAATATATTAAAGTAAAAATGTCAAGATCAGAAAGTAAAAAACAACGTTTCGCTGGAATCGTTAATTTTATAATAAAGTAAAATTTTATTGCTATTAATCAAACTTTCCATAAACAAATATCGCATTCTTTATTACAGATATGTACCGCCCTTAACATCCTCAAGTCCGAAATTACCCGATACTCCCGAAGAAATCCAAAAAGAGTTGCGCAAGCAAGATAGTTTACTTAACCAAATACACTCGGAAATGAATGCTGGTTTTGTATCAAAAAAACGAGAAGAACAATTGTGGGAAGTGCAAAGAATTATAACACAACTTAAAAGAAAATTGAAAACTTTTGAAAAGAAACAAGAAAAATCTATAGAGGAACTTGAAGCAAGTACTACAAGTTTAAGCACAGATGTTACGGATTCAGCAACGAAAATTGGTAAAAATTTAGGGGCAGAAGATGAAACAAACGCTGTTACAAAAGTTGCAGCAGAACAAAACGAACAAAATTCTGCCAATGATTTAAGATATAACGCACAAGATTTTGTTAACGAACCAAAAGATGATGCCATTACCATTAATAACAACACAAACATTTCGCCCTCTTTCACCACCAACATACAAGAAACAGATGGTTTATATTTGGATGAAGACACTGGTTTGTTAATGGTGGCTCAAACTCATCCCGATTATGCCACTTTATTGCGTTTACAATTGGAAAATCAAGAACTATTAGCCTGGAAAACACAATTACAAACACGCATAAGTTCAGAACGTGCCGAAATATTACGCTTAAAACAATTGCAACAACAAATGGCCAACAAATTAGCACATCAAAATGGTGGTACTAATAATACTCAAAATGCCCCTCCTCCACCAGAAGGAGATTATGAACGTATTGTAGAACATTTCATACGAGAAAATGCTCTACTCGAACATAAGCGACAAATGTTGGCTAAAGAGATTTTCGAAGAAAATAAACAGTGTATAGCTTATCAAGTGGAATTGGCCATGCAGAAATTTTAAAAACACAAATTTTTAAATTATTTTATATGTATTAATTTTTCCAAAAAGAAATGCAGCTTTTAGCGCATTTAGTTGCTAACCAAAATTTATAAATACTCTTCCTCTCTCTCTCTTATATATTAAATTGTTATTTTTTCACTTTATTTTAATTAAAACAAAAAAAGTATTAATCATATTTATCTGTTTACTATATTCGTAATGTGTTATATTAACCGCATTGTTAAATTTTGAGCTCTTAATGAACAAATAAAACATTTATATCATGGCATATTTATTTGTTTTTAACGTTTACTAAAACCTACGAAAGTTAAATTATTCAAAAGTGCTTTCGAAAAGCTTTCAAACGATGTATAACATACCCTTTTCAATTAAACATTGAGAAGTCAAAATATGCTCCTTTTTATCAACATTTCATATAGATATATAGATAGATATATAGATAGATAGATAGATAGATAGATAGATAGATAGATGGATAGATAGATAGACAGACAGACAGACAGACAGACAGACAGACAGACAGACAGACAGACAGACAGACAGACAGACAGACAGACAGATAGATAGATAGATAGGTAGGTAGGTATAATCGGATCGTAAATTTGTTTTATCTGGTAATAAATAATTTAAATTTAATTATGTTTTAGAACATACATGGAATATACAGAACTTTAGTACTTTTTTATATCGAAAAATACCGCAGTACCCTCACGACTCATTCGGTACTTTTTCTAACTTATAAACTTTTGATAAGTAGTCAGTATGTGGTCTAGTATAGTCTAGTATAACCTAAAAAGTACTATTTTTTTATGAGTTAGTTTGGGAGCATTGCACAGAAATCTATAAATTTTATTATTACTGAAGTCCAAGTCCGATAATTTCCGTTTTTTTTCTGTAAAAAAGGAAAAACTACTTAAATCTTTATTTTATCAAATTTTCCAAAAAATGGTCACTTTGCTATTTTTGAGACAAGAAATCGTTTAGTCTGGCAGCTATGTTCATAATAATCAAGGCGCAATCAGATAAGGTGGTGGCAGTTCGGCAACAACAAAATTTTTCATGTAATTTGTTTTTGCATTTGGTACGCACTGATGTCAAAAACAATAAGTGCGGCGAATTCATTTAATGAAAATATTTTGTGAAATTTTTATATTTTATAAAAATTACACATAAAAATACTTAAATTTGTGAAGATAATATACCCTGAGTGGAATAATGTTTGTTCCAAATGAAAAATTCTACTCCGGCAGATTAATTTTACAAAACTTAAGTTTTTGTCCAAAATTATGTAAAATTAATATTTTTGTAAAAAGTTAACATAAAAATGTAAAACTATATGGAAAAAGGTACATACGAATGAAAGAATTTTTGTTGTGAATGGAAAATTCTACACGTTGTAGTCAGCTGCCGCCGGACGGATAAATACCTCATATCAGTTTTGTTATAAAATGCGTTTCGGAACAGAATTTTGTTAGTTAATCACATTATATATACAGTGTAAATATAAAACAATTTATTAATTTTTCTTTTTTTCTTCTCCGGAACAGAATTTTTTTAGTTAATCGTGTAAAGTGTACATATAAAATATAAAACAATATTGTTTAATTTGTTAACATTTAATAGAAAAAATATTATTGTTATATTAAGTTAGTACATGCGTATCAATTATTCATTAATTATATAAGAAAAATATTCGTTTACAAAATGCTTGGTATTTTCAGATTTTTTACATAAATTATTCAAAATACTAACGAAGCTTTTCTCTGTTTTAACGGAAATTTTTAAATATAAAAATGTAAACAATAACAAACTCTAACATCAGTGC